TTTATATAAAATTCTGCTACGGTCAGAAAATTATCCTTATTCAATATAATTGTTGTCTGTAACCTGGTACCATGTGATTTACTTTTTTTAAATACTAAAACCATTGTAAAATACGCAGTAAGGGAAGAGGGGGCACGTTGTTACCTATTGTTTCCTAGAATTTTTTTCGTCCCTATTTTTTTAATTTCATTTTACAAAAACGGCAATGTAATAAAGACACCTTTAGTTACTATTAGGAAAAAGCATCCTACTACTTATTACTATAGAGTTGTAAAAATAAAAAAGGTAGTCGAAGTCAAGTGCAACAATGTTCCCCATAGCGGGGAACCTTGTTACTTATGGTGGGGCACACTATTACAGGTTATAAATTTATTAAAAAATTAGATATTATTATGTTTTATTTATAAACTTAAATTTAAAAATAGAAATTGAAAATGTTAACATCAAATACACAATGAAAGTGAACAAAACTATTAGAGTCCGTTATAGTAGTGATTTAGATCTACAGGAAAAACCAACAATTTGGACGTTCTGGCCGTACTTCCAGAGGCTTCTGCGTTTGGTAATTTGGCTATGACCTTTGAAGTTTCAAAACAATAAATGTCTTCAACTTCAATAAATTTAAATTTAGGAAACAGTCACCTGATGTACTGAACATTAATGTCTGAATCAAATTTTGTTAAAATTTTACCAATTGACATAACATTATAGTTGCCTATTATTTTTCCCTCTTTAATCAGGACATAATCTCCGACGGCAATTTTCCCCACATTAGTATCTAGCTCATCCTCACTCACAAAAGCGCCAACGTTAGCACTGCTATTGGCAACAGATATTGATCCATCCTCTGATTCTGATGTAGTGTCTTTTTTATTGTTTTTGCTAGTTTCTGTTTTCATTTGCCTTTAAATACGTTCCGTTTGACTGGCTTTGTGTTCCTTAAATGTTCTACAATTTACAATTTGATCCTTAACAGGAGTATCAGTAAGAATTTGGCTTTTTCTTTTTCTATTATTCTGCATAGTTTCCTTCCTAGCACCGGCCTCCGGGTACGGTCGTACCTTAACGGGTGGAGGTGAATGTTCTGAAGTCTGCAATATTGGTGCTTGTCGTGAAGTTGAGCACTGGTGACGGTTGTGTAGGTGGTGGAAGTGAATGTTCTAGAGTCCGCAATATTGGTGTTTGTGACAGTTGTGCTGCTGTAGTGGAAGCTCTTCGAATGTAGTCAAACTTTCTTAAGTATATCTGTAACTGATGAACATAGAAAATAATCATCGCTGAAGATATTTTTTTTCAGAGGCCAAATTCCAGTAGACTTAAATCCATTAATAATATCGTGATGGTTTTTTCAACATTCATAATCATCAAGTCGTTGCATGCCATGTTAAAGTTGGTCTTGAGTGATTTATGTACAGTTTTGTCTAGTGGCTAGAGTTTACCGCTAATATGAGGAAGCAGAGTTAGAAAGATAATTCCGTTACTTTTATAAAATTCAAGCGAGCTTATTGTTAAATGTGGTTGTCAAACATGAGAAGTATTGGCGACTCTGGTGTACTTTTTACAACTCCATGAAAGTGCTTCAATATATCAATAAACATTTCTCCATTTACTCCAGGTAGATGGATATTTCAAATTATTTTGTTTAGCCAATTCAAATGCCAACGTCATAACATGTTTTCTTATTAACTGATGGTGCATACGACATGCTATGAGAAGATAATTGATTAAAGCATCTTCCAGTTCCTTGGAAAACACTTGATTTGTGTTATACCTTGGCGTAAATCGGAAATGTAAGCGCTCTTTCATTTATTTTCATTTATTTTCATTTATTTTCATTTATTTTCATTTATTTTCATTTATTTTCATTTATTTTCATTTATTTTCATTTATTTTCATTTATTTTCATTTATTTTCATTTATTTTCATTTATTTTCATTTATTTTCATTTATTTTCATTTATTTTCATTTATTTTCATTTATTTTCATTTATTTTCATTTATTTTCATTTATTTTTATTTATTTTCATTTATTTTCATTTATTTTCATTTATTTTCATTTATTTTCATTTATTTTCATTTATTTTCATTTATTTTCATTTATTTTCATTTATTTTCATTTATTTTCATTTATTTTCATTTATTTTCATTTATTTTCGTTTATTTTCGTTTATTTTCGTTTATTTTCGTTTATTTTCGTTTATTTTCGTTTATTTTCGTTTATTTTCGTTTATTTTCGTTTATTTTCGTTTATTTTCATTTATTTTCATTTATTTTCATTTATTTTCATTTATTTTCATTTATTTTCATTTATTTTCATTTATTTTCATTTATTTTCATTTATTTTCATTTATTTTCATTTATTTTCATTTATTTTCATTTATTTTCATTTATTTTCATTTATTTTCATTTATTTTCATTTATTTTCATTTATTTTCATTTATTTTCATTTATTTTCATTTATTTTCATTTATTTTCATTTATTTTCATTTATTTTCATTTATTTTCATTTATTTTCATTTATTTTCATTTATTTTCATTTATTTTCATTTATTTTCATTTATTTTCATTTATTTTCATTTATTTTCATTTATTTTCATTTATTTTCATTTATTTTCATTTATTTTCATTTATTTTCATTTATTTTCATTTATTTTCATTTATTTTCATTTATTTTCATTTATTTTCATTTATTTTCATTTATTTTCATTTATTTTCATTTATTTTCATTTATTTTCATTTATTTTCATTTATTTTCATTTATTTTCATTTATTTTCATTTATTTTCATTTATTTTCATTTATTTTCATTTATTTTCATTTATTTTCATTTATTTTCATTTATTTTCATTTATTTTCATTTATTTTCATTTATTTTCATTTATTTTCATTTATTTTCATTTATTTTCATTTATTTTCATTTATTTTCATTTATTTTCATTTATTTTCATTTATTTTCATTTATTTTCATTTATTTTCATTTATTTTCATTTATTTTCATTTATTTTCATTTATTTTCATTTATTTTCATTTATTTTCATTTATTTTCATTTATTTTCATTTATTTTCATTTATTTTCATTTATTTTCATTTATTTTCATTTATTTTCATTTATTTTCATTTATTTTCATTTATTTTCATTTATTTTCATTTATTTTCATTTATTTTCATTTATTTTCATTTATTTTCATTTATTTTCATTTATTTTCATTTATTTTCATTTATTTTCATTTATTTTCATTTATTTTCATTTATTTTCATTTATTTTCATTTATTTTCATTTATTTTCATTTATTTTCATTTATTTTCATTTATTTTCATTTATTTTCATTTATTTTCATTTATATTTATTTTTATTTATTTTTATTTATTTTTATTTATTTTTATTTATTTTTATTTATTTTTATTTATTTTTATTTATTTTTATTTATTTTTATTTATTTTTATTTATTTTTATTTATTTTTATTTATTTTTATTTATTTTTATTTATTTTTATTTATTTTTATTTATTTTTATTTATTTTTATTTATTTTTATTTATTTTTATTTATTTTTATTTATTTTTATTTATTTTTATTTATTTTTATTTATTTTTATTTATTTTTATTTATTTTTATTTATTTTTATTTATTTTTATTTATTTTTATTTATTTTTATTTATTTTTATTTATTTTTATTTATTTTTATTTATTTTTATTTATTTTTATTTATTTTTATTTATTTTTATTTATTTTTATTTATTTTTATTTATTTTTATTGATTTTTATTTATTTTTATTTATTTTTATTTATTTTTATTTATTTTTATTTATTTTTATTTATTTTTATTTATTTTTATTTATTTTTATTTATTTTTATTTATTTTTATTTATTTTTATTTATTTTTATTTATTTTTATTTATTTTTATTTATTTTCATTTATTTTCATTTATATTTATTTTTATTTATTTTTATTTATTTTTATTTATTTTTATTGATTTTTATTTATTTTTATTTATTTTTATTTATTTTTATTTCACCAGTTTCTCCTCTTTAAAATGTGAAACCCTGAAACAGGTCATTAGTTATTTATGATAAGGATCTACAATTCCAATTTTCAAGTTCCTACTAGTAAAAAAATCGATACCCTCTACAAACTCTTCCCCTTTAACCTGTTAAAATCCAAAAACCCTGAAATACGTCATTTATTTTTGACAAGGAGCTACAATTCCAATTTTCAAGTTCCTACCTTTAAAAATTCGATACTCCCATAAAGTTTTTCTCCCCCTGTTTCCCCCCTAAAATATGATATTTATCAAATCCGTTCTTAGTCGGTGTCTACATATAGTTCAGTGGTGTCTATGTCGAGAAAGGGGTAACTATGCCAAATTTCAATTCAATCGGGCTTATAGTTTTGTAGTTCTCGTGAGGAGTCAAATGGAATAAATTCGGTAATAAATAAATGGGGGCGTGTTCAAAAAAACGCTCGGACATGTCGATTGGTATTTTTAGTTGCGTATTTCTTTTAACAAAAACTTTTTATACAGGGTGTGTCATGTAACAGTGGCCAATACCAACTTTCTTATTTTAACAACCTGTATATTTTTCAATTTTTGGATTCTTCAGATAATTCTAGACATATTTTATGTACTATGTCCTATATTTAATCGCTTAGGAAATATTAAAACCTAGCGGACTTAAGAAGACGAATAACGCTTGCGATTAGATCGGTCACTCCTGAGATGTTGAGTAACGTTAGAATACATTTCAGATTAGGATGTTGCCAAGAGGTTCGCGGCGAGCATTTTGAACATCTCCTACATTGAGATGTGTTTTTTTTGTTACATTATCAAAAAATAAACAGTATTACTTATTAGTTTTTGAGTGTGTTGTAACGAATTTCTGTATTCAAAAAATTTTATTTTATTAATGTTAATTTTTGCAATAAATCTGAAAACATTTCGACTATGTTTTTTGTCCGAAAAACGACGTTTTTTGACACATTCAAATAAAACGATTTTTTATAGGTGTTTTTGTTTGGGATGTAGAAGGTAATCGATATTTTGATTACCTCAGCGGATATTCAGCAAATAACTTTGGACACTGCCATCCAAAAATCATCAAAGCTTTACAAGATCAAAGTACCGTTCTGCATCATACGTCTAGAGCTTTCTTTTCCGATGTACTAGGAGAATATGGCCAAGTATTAACCAAATTGTTTGGATATGACAAAGTTTTGCCAATGAATACAGGTGAGAAATGCGCTCCATCATAATTTTTCAATGTGTATCTATGGAACAATATCAACTTCAGCTTAGAATAGAATAGAATAGAACTTCAACAAAAATAATATGATATATTAATAATAAAATTTGTCTGAAGCTACATATAGGGTGTTAGTATATTCGACCGACAATGCTGTCACAGAGAGCTCTCGTTAATTGACGAATTTTGATACAGAAACATAAATTCCTAAAGATCTTAGTTGCCGAGATACAAAGGTTTTTAAATAATTTGTTTTTCAAATTTGATCTACCAAGATCTTGTCAAAAACATAAACTATAAAAATATTGAGTCCTTACAAGCAATTAAGAACATGTAGATTTTTGTTTAGAAGCAAATTTCTGCGACACTGTTCATTTTAGCTCCATAAAAAGTTCACTTTTTAGTTATTATAAATGAACAGAAAATTTAAAAATAAAAATAATAATAAATAATATTTTTCGAGTGGCGTAAAAAATAGGGGGGAAAATTAATTTAACCTTGATAGCGCGTCACTGGTAAAAATTTTTAAAAGTAAGTTTATGTCAAAATATTATTTTATTGAAGAGCATATTGGTCACCAAATTTGAAATGAATATTTAAAGGTGTTTTTGATTAATGGCAAGTTTTAATTTTTGAATTCAAAGTTTTAACAACCTGCATCTCGATAACTTTATCAATTAACGAGAGCTCTCTGCAGAGACCTCAGAGCTCTATCGATCGAATATACTAACACCCTATATGTGACAATAAACATTAAACATTAGGAGAACAATAATGTTGATTATGTTTTTGTTTTAAAATCATGAATTCAATATAGTTTATTGTTCTAGGGGTTGAAGCAGCAGAAACGGCATGTAAAATTTCAAGAAAATGGGGCTATAGGAAAAAGAAAATACCTAAAAACGAAGCCAAAATAATTTTTGCTGCTGACAATTTTTGGGGAAGATCTCTGGCTGCCGTTTCAGCATCTACTGATCCACTTTGTTTTGAAGAATATGGACCTTTTTATGCCTGGATTTAGTTGCGTTCCATACAATGACTTAAAAGCGCTGGAAGTGAGTTTTATGACGAGCAATTATTAAAGCCGCAAAAAATCTTCGTTAACTTATTTCCTGATCTGTCAAACATTCAGAACTTCAAAACTTACACTAATATTTCTAAATTTGCTTTGATCTCTCATCGGAACTTCTATGGTATTGTTATTTGTCTTCTAGCTATTATAGACACCATCTTTTTCTAATTGCTGACTTTCGCTCGAAAAACACTTTATTGAAAATATATTAATGAAAACATTTGATTTCTAGATCTGTCAAACATTCAGAACTTCAAAACTTACACTATTATTTCTAAACTTGCCTTGTTCTTTCATCGTAACTTCTATGAATTTGTCTTCTGGCTATTAACTCCATCTTTTTCTAATTGCGGACTTTCGCTCGAAAAACATTTTATTTTAAACATATTAATGAAAACATTTGATTTCCAGATCTGTCAAACATTCAAAACTTCAAAACTTACACTATTATTTCTAAACTTGCCTTGTTCTTTTAACGGAACTTCCATGGTATTGTTATTTGTATTCTATTAGCTCCATCTTTTTCTGCTTACGAATTTTCGCTCAAAAAACATTTTATTTAAAACATATTTATGAAAACATTTGATAATAATTTGATTCAAGGGGGGCAACGGTGCAGTAATAGCCCTCTCCCTTTAAGACTAATAATCCTAGTAGTTGATACCTGTAATTAAAAATCTATAAAAATCTATAAAAATCTATAAAAATTTATAAAAATTTATAAAAATGTATAAAAATCTATAAAAATCTATAAAAATCTATAAAAATCTATAAAAATCTATAAAAATCTATAAAAATCTATAAAAATCTATAAAAATCTATAAAAATCTATAAAAATCTATAAAAATCTATAAAAATCTATAAAAATCTATAAAAATCTATAAAAATCTATAAAAATCTATAAAAATCTATAAAAATCTATAAAAATCTATAAAAATCTATAAAAATCTATAAAAATCTATAAAAATCTATAAAAATCTATAAAAATCTATAAAAATCTATAAAAATCTATAAAAATCTATAAAAATCTATAAAAATCTATAAAAATCTATAAAAATCTATAAAAATCTATAAAAATCTATAAAAATCTATAAAAATCTATAAAAATCTATAAAAATCTATAAAAATCTATAAAAATCTATAAAAATCTATAAAAATCTATAAAAATCTATAAAAATCTATAAAAATCTATAAAAATCTATAAAAATCTATAAAAATCTATAAAAATCTATAAAAATCTATAAAAATCTATAAAAATCTATAAAAATCTATAAAAATCTATAAAAATCTATAAAAATCTATAAAAATCTATAAAAATCTATAAAAATCTATAAAAAAATTTTAAAATTCTATAAAAATCTATAAAAATCTATAAAAATCTATAAAAATCTATAAAAATCTATAAAAATCTATAAAAATCTATAAAAATCTATAAAAATCTATAAAAATCTATAAAAATCTATAAAAATCTATAAAAATCTATAAAAATCTATAAAAATCTATAAAAATCTATAAAAAATCTATAAACATCTATGAAAATCTATGAAAATCTATGAAAATCTATAAAAATCTATAAAAATCTATAAAAATCTATAAAAATCTATAAAAATCTATAAAAATCTATTAAAAATCTATAAAAATCTATAAAAATCTATAAAAATCTATAAAAATCTATAAAAATCTATAAAAATCTATAAAAATCTATAAAAATCTATAAAAATCTATAAAAATCTATAAAAATCTATAAAAATCTATAAAAATCTATAAAAATCTATAAAAATCTATAAAAATCTATAAAAATCTATAAAAATCTATAAAAATCTATAAAAATCTATAAAAATCTATAAAAATCTATAAAAATCTATAAAAATCTATAAAAATCTATAAAAATCTATAAAATCTATAAAAATCTATAAAAATCTATAAAAATCTATAAAAATCTATAAAAATCTATAAAAATCTATAAAAATCTATAAAAATCTATAAAAATCTATAAAAATCTATAAAAATCTATAAAAATCTATAAAAATCTTTAAAAATCTATAAAAATCCATAAAAATCTATAAAAATCTATAAAAATCTATAAAAATCTATAAAAATCTATAAAAATCTATAAAAATCTATAAAAATCTATAAAAATCTATAAAAATCTATAAAAATCTATAAAAATCTATAAAAATCTATAAAAATCTATAAAAATCTATAAAAATCTATAAAAATCTATAAAAATCTATAAAAATCTATAAAAATCTATAAAAATCTATAAAAATCTATAAAAATCTATAAAAATCTATAAAAATCTATAAAAATCTATAAAAATCTATAAAAATCTATAAAAATCTATAAAAATCTATAAAAATCTATAAAAATCTATAAAAATCTATAAAAATCTATAAAAATCTATAAAAATCTATAAAAATCTATAAAAATCTATAAAAATCTATAAAAATCTATAAAAATCTATAAAAATCTATAAAAATCTATAAAAATCTATAAAAATCTATAAAAATCTATAAAAATCTATAAAAATCTATAAAAATCTATAAAAATCTATAAAAATCTATAAAAATCTATAAAAATCTATAAAAAATCTATAAAAATCTATAAAAATCTATAAAAATCTATAAAAATCTATAAAAATCTATAAAAATCTATAAAAATCTATAAAATCTAAAAAAATCTATAAAAATCTATAAAAATCTATAAAAATCTATAAAAATCTATAAAAATCTATAAAAATCTATAAAAATCTATAAAAATCTATAAAAATCTATAAAAATCTATAAAAATCTATAAAAATCTATAAAAATCTATAAAAAATCTATAAAAAATCTATAAACATCTATAAAATCTATAAAAATCTATAAAAATCTATAAAAATCTATAAAAATCTATAAAAATCTATAAAAATCTATAAAAATCTATAAAAATCTATAAAAATCTATAAAAATCTATAAAAATCTATAAAAATCTATAAAAATCTATAAAAATCTATAAAAATCTATAAAATCTATAAAAATCTATAAAAATCTATAAAAATCTATAAAAATCTATAAAAATCTATAAAAATCTATAAAAATCTATAAAAATCTATAAAAATCTATAAAAATCTATAAAAATCTATAAAAATCTATAAAAATCTATAAAAATCTATAAAAATCTATAAAAATCTATAAAAATTATAAAAATCTATAAAAATCTATAAAAATCTATAAAAATCTATAAAAATCTATAAAAATCTATAAAAATCTATAAAAATCTATAAAAATCTATAAAAATCTATAAAAATCTATAAAAATCTATAAAAATCTATAAAAATCTATAAAAATCTATAAAAATCTATAAAAATCTATAAAAATCTATAAAAATCTATAAAAATCTATAAAAATCTATGAACCCAGCAGATTGCCTCTCATCGCCTTTAATATTTATTTTTTCCTCTATTGCCTACGTTAATAATGATCTCCCTATACAGGAGACGGATGTCTCATTAAGAATGGGACACAGAACAACTAAAGATGCTCGGTTTAAAAATAGAACCATTAAACGAAACAATAAAATATTTCGGGTTTCCAAAATACAAGGTGTTATATTTGAAAATTCAAAAATTACTAATGTCTTTCATTTTTTAATTTCTCAGTATAATGTTACTAGATTCGGTTAACATTTTTGTTGTCATAAGATACACCTATCAGTAAAACAATCAGTTAAATAAACTTTGCCACTGGTGTACGGTATGCACAACACCTTCATCCCCACTGTGCAAAAAACATATTTGGACTATATTTTTACATTTTTTTATTTTTTTTTGTTTTTAAATAAATCATGTACTTTTGTTGGGAACTTATACAGTGATTGATTTTCCAGATATTCATACTCATATGTGGATATTCATCATATTAATTTATTTTTAATTTTGTAATTTTGAATTTTTTATAAAATTATACTCATCGAACGTTTTTGGTGTAAAAAAACTTTGCCTGCGGCATGGGCAAGTAACACCTTCATATCTTCTAAATTTTACGCCACTTTCCAAAAACTTATTTGGACTATAATTTTGAAATTTTTTAATAAATCATGTTGGGAATTTATAAAAAAAAAACAAAATTTCAAAATTTAAATATAAATTAATATGTAGAAATTCCACTTATGAGTGTGAATATCTCGAAAACCAATCGCTTTATGAGTGCCCAACAAGAGTAGGTACATGTTTTATTTAAAAAACATCAAAAAATGTAAAAATATAGTCCAAATATGTTTTTGCATAGTGGCGTAAAATTTAGAGGGGATGAAGGTGTTACTTATCCATACCGTACGTCACTGACAAAGTTTATTTAACTAATTGTTTTGCTGATAGGTGTATCTTTTGACACCAAAAATGTTTACCGAATTTAGTAAAATTATACGTAGAAATAAAAAAAGTATCGTAATTAATATTTTTAAATTTTCATCTTTATTATTTCGGAAACCCGTATAAAAGCCTTATTTTTAATCAGATAATCTTTAGTTGTTCTGTGTACCATTCTTAATGAGACATCCTGTATATAGCGTCATAAATCCTCTCAAAACTTCTGAGAAAACCTATTACCCCCTATTAGCTTTTGCTCCTTGTCTTGTTGGACTACTTCCACTTCTGTATCCCTATAACTATGCACCTGTTTTTTTACTTCTAAAATCCAATTCATTATAACTAAGATGGAAAAGTAAATATTTCTTTTTATTTTCACTAGAAAGCTTTACAAGATCCTCTGGTATGCGCCTACATGGTGGAACCAATCCAAGGTGAAGCTGGCATTTACGTACCTGATGCTGGATACTTAAAAGGAGTCCGTTCGCTTTGCACCAAATATAATGTTTTATGGATAGCTGATGAAATTCAGACTGGATTAGGTAGGACTGGAAAAAGATTGGCTGTTGATTATGAGGATGTTAAACCCGACATTCTGGTTCTCGGAAAAGCCCTTGGTGGTGGAGTTTACCCAGTTTCCGCTGCTCTAGCCGACGACAATGTTATGTCGGTTATTGAACCAGGTAAAAATTATTAAGTGTCTATTTTCATGATTTTTTGTTTATAGTCCTGTTTCGTTTACAGATGTACCTAGTTTTATTTCTGTTCATGTTTAAAACCAATTTCTTGTACTCGTCTACAGTACTGACTATTTAGGCGTGAATTCGAAGTCTTCGCCATAATTATATCATTGTTTTTCCGATTCCAGTTTAAATGTACCCAAGAAGGATTTGACTTAAAAACTGCTGTGCATTTTTAGGTACTCACGGCTCTACTTTTGGAGGAAATCCTTTAGGTTCTAAAGTAGCTATGCAAGCTTTAGAAATATTAGAAGAAGATGAATTAGCAGAAAACGCATTGAGATTAGGAGAGCTGTTCAGAGTAGAATTAATTGAAAAACTGAAAAATGCCAATACAGTTATAAATGATATTAGAGGGAAAGGTCTTCTAAATGCTTTAGACATCAATAGAAGTAAGTACTTACCTAATGTTTCAGAAGTGTGACAGCTTCTTGATTTAATAGTTTGTATTATCAATATGTGTTAATATACAAAATGTATAAAAATTATTTGTTTTTTAGATTATGCAGATGCCTGGGAAATATGTTTGAAATTAAAAGAAAACGGTCTTTTAGCAAAACATACTCATGATCATATAATAAGATTTTCGCCTCCTCTTATAATAAATGAAGAACAAATGAAACATTCTATAGATATTATTGTTAAAACTATTACAAGTATTGATACCTCACACAAATAACGACAATATTTTTTGGAGTACCTACATATGCAAGCAACATAATATATAATAAACAAGGTTTTTGTCCAGTTATCGTTCCCACTAGAAAATATAAATTTGGTCTAGCTACTTATAAAATGGCTTTTTTTAAGTTAATACCTAAGTATATACTTAGTGGTAATGTGGATTCGACAAGCAACTGATTAGCACATTAAAAATTTCAATTTATTTTTTATTGTATTATATTTATTCATTTGGTTGTTATTTAAATAATAAAGAAGACAAATTCTATTATTTAACTATTTCGAAAAATTTATATTTTAATGCCATGTTTTGTTGTATTTTGAACATACAAAATATATTTTTAATTTGAGGATTTCCAAATAATGTGTCTACTTTATTTTTGGAGCGTATAACCAGAGACAATCCAGCGAGACGTTTAACTCAATGTATTTTTTTTGTTCGGTAAAACTTATTTGGGCGATTGTAACCACAACCAGTCTATGATGGCGCCACTAGTAAATAGCGGGAAAATTAAAAATGCTTTAGGTCGGGAAATTCAAACATGGATTCAGAAATCGTTTTTGTATACAACAAATTTACAAGAGAAACAAAAACTATTGTTTCACTGTTTATTAAAAAATATAAAATCTTCCAATAACATCAAATTTTTTATCATATAAATAATCATTTTAATAAAGGAAGTTTTAATCAGTTTAATATAAGCAGTGAACATAGTTTTTATTACTCTTTAAAATTTCGCTAAAAAAACTTGAAAATTCTATTGATTATTAAATATTTAAACTTGGAAAAATAATACACCAAACTCTTTTTCTATAAATTATATTTTTGTAAGGTACAGAAAAACAAACTACAATTGCTATGTTTAGAAAGTACCTCCTATCATTTTGTGACAAATTACAAAGAAAGTAACAGTTGTTATATATTCATAATATATTTAAAAACTAATGTAACAAATATTTTATAAAGTATAGAGTATATCGATACCTTTTTGCCAGACTATCATAAGTGCCATTTGAACAAATTAATGAACAAAAGTAGCTGTAACAATGGATCTCTGTTCCAATTCACCTAAAATAATTATAGCCATTTTGTAATATATTATTAAACACACAAATTGTACAGTGGTTTTCTTAATAACTTGGAAATTACTTACCTCTAGAAAGAAATGTGTACAGAAACGCGAGTTTGGTTCCAGAAATTGCTTCATGCAAAAAATAAACATTCCCCGAAAGAAAATTAATTAAACAACAAAATCTGACTCAAAGAAATAAACGGGGCCCAAATTAAATTAATTTTAATAAAAGGCACACGTTCATAACAACATTCATAACCACATAACACTTACTCATGGAGGAAGGATTATTAGAACAGAAGTAAAAGTTGGAAATGCTTTTGCCAGTTCGCCCACTTTATACACATAAATTGACAGGTTGGCAGCGGATATCCCCGAAGTGGACGCGATACATTGGCGTACAAAATTATTTTATAGATGTTAATAACAATTTCGAGTAAATAGTTTAATAAATTGTGAATAGCTGTTGAAATTTTGTAAAATTATAATTTGAATATTATAATACATGTTTAATAATTATTTATAATCCATAAATACATGCGATTGTCCGGTTCCGCCGATAACAATTTAAAATTACTTATTCTATGAAACGACACTGGCAGGTAAACATTACTGTGAAATTCTCGGAGCCGCCCGACGTGGTTTGACGTTTACCCCCTCTCTACCTACCAGAAGACTTTTCAACTTTTACTTTCTCTATACTCTTGTTCATAACATTGTCAGTTGTCAGTTTTAATCGATACGTCAACGTCAAAAAACCAGCATCATCAGCGACCTCTTAAATTGGTGTTAGTTTTATTGGAGAGAGATAAACATATGTAAAGATCAATGTAAAAGAGAAAGAAAGTCATATATGTAATTTAAATGGACCACCGAACAAATTTTCCTATGAATTTACACGTCTCTGTTGTCTCTGGTATAACTGATAGTTTTTCGGAACTTTAAACCGATCCCATCTACTAACCTGTTTGTTTAATGAGCATGTTTAAAAGGCGGGACTCCACTAAACTGGGCTAGCCCGTCGGCATGGCCCGCCGGCTTTTGCCGAAGAAAAATAGAAATAAAAATATTCTTTAATACCGCCGGCATGACCCGCCGGCACAATTTTGATAGCGGCCAAATGTCGGTAAAGATGAAAGGAATTTCTGCGGGCTATGCGAGCAAGCACGTGTTTTTTCACTCATTCTTGATATTTGTATGGATTGGTACGTTGCGCGAGGTTTGTATACGCAGTAACATACAGTGGATATTCAAGAGACTTTAAAATGGATAGCTAAGATACGAATACGGAAAATATCCATAACATCATCATCGAATGAACTGAAAAAAAGGTCTTTTTATTGATAAAATTATTCCGAAATGAAAGTAATTTGAGGAATCCTAACAATAATAATACCAGCCCGCCATAAAGTTCTATACAAACAACATTAATTCCATCAGGACCTTCTTCAAATCAATATAAGTTAAATCAGATGTAAAAAGACTTAGGGTGAGATTACAGAACGTCTGCAACTTTGCAGATCTGCAAATATGGCGGCAACTTTGAAAATCTGCAAATGACTGACTTACACATGCAAGTATCAAGTTTTCGTATTCCAAATTTGGGTTTAGTGTTGTTGGGGGTAATAAACCACAATAAATATTGCGAATTTGCAGATATTTTTTGGAATACTTACATTCGTAAGTCCGCCATATTTGCAAAGTTGCAGATGCAAAGTTGCAGACATTCTGTAATCTCACCCCTAGCCTTTAAAACATCAGAACATGTCCAAACAGCACAGTACATCTTAAGTACGTACAGTTTTGGTACTGTACGTACAGGGCGTAAAATACGTTTCAAGTACGTATACAATAGAGAGTTAAAGCAACGCGAGATACGTATGCGTATCTCTCTGACGTAAACGTAGAAATTGACGATACGTTAAACGAGCAGTTTGGAAGAAAACAACAGTTAAAGCAAACACACTGATGTAAACGTATCTACAACTTTATAACCTTAGGTACTTTTTGATAAAAATTTTAATAGTTAAATTGAGTAAATCATGAATTTAAGGGCTTTAAATGGTGATGAAGATTTAGATAATCCTGTATATTACAAATTCTACATAAAGAAAATTTGGAAAATAATTATGTTTTATATGGAAGATTCAATTTTAATAAGGACCGATTCCAACGTTGTGTTAAACGAAATTTAAAATGACATTTTTACATTCAATATCATTTTAATCTCCGTTTAACACAACGGTGAAATCGGCCCTAATCGACATAATTAGGCTTGTTAGAGCTCTTGGCATGCCAGATATAATTATAACAAATTATCGATTATCCGGTAATTTTTACTAATTCATTTTTTTCAATGAACTTTCTAGGAATAAATGTGATGTATATTTTATATATGAAACTCGTTTCGTATTATGGCTCAAAATTTAAAAAACAGAGCAATCTGTCATTAGTTTTATTAAAACGGGTACGATCGGATGCTCCCGAAGCATTTGCTCGGTTCGATACGAATGCGTATTAGGCGTACGTTTATGTAAGACGTAAATAGATACGTGGGAAAAATAGCTATTGCGCATGCGCAGCTGTCATGAGATACGTTTACGTATACGCTTCTGGCATTGCTTTAACTCTCTAATAGTATCTACCAGCACGTACAGAAAAATACGTACTAAGTACGTACCTGAGTGTACGTAATCCTGGTTGCTTACCTATTTTAATGAAAAACCTATGTTTCTACCAAATTTCTGTTGAGCGTAGGCCAAAAAATGCAAAGGAGAAAGAGAAACACCAATTTATTTAATCTAATCTATACTCTAAACTAAACTCGCTCGTTTTTTTTTAAGTGTTGCAAGCAACCACGTTTTAACGGTTTCATTAGTTTGTTTTTGTTAGTTTTTCATGTTTAAGGATTTAACTATTAAATGTTTCTTTAAACAAATAATTGTGTATAATTTATTATAATTGAGCAAGACAGTTCTTTAGACTTTTTAGTTAGTTTTATAAGTACATAGTTTCGTCATTTTATTCTGGTGAGTGGTTTCATTTTAATTTAAAAAAATTATGTGTAATAAATATAATTTATAAATATGTCATCCCATCCCATAGCAAACATTACAAAAATGCTATAAAACAATTGAAAAGGTTTAAGGAAATGAATAAACAGGTGGTATCTAATATATTTTAGACAAAAGAAGTTATATTTTACAGGCCCTAATAATTTAATTTTGGATTTTGTCAAAAGGAGTATGACTGCTACCTTAATAACTAATCAGCTGGCAACAAATTATAAATGGCTGTAGTTGTAGTGGGTAAGATGTTTTGATTTTTTTATATATTTTTGCATGCCAGTTTCCATAACGTCCGATATTATAGAGCAGTGGCATGAACGAATTGAATTTCAAATGCATAAGGCCAAAACAGGTGGATACAAATGAGAGAGGTTTAGATCCAGGAGTATATTGACAATGATAATTTTGAGCCGTAGAAACTATCGCTTACTTTACATCTTTTTGTTATATTGTTTTTATTATATTATTATAAAAACTACCCAAGTTAAGTTTCTAATTTGATATTATTTCTTTACAGAAGGTGCTATAAAAAGTAGCAAATGCAAAGAGAAGAAGTTTGCAGAACAGGAAATTGTGAGATGACTAAGAAGAGCTGATGAGAGTATAAAAACTTTCAAAAAAGATAGCAAAACAATTTAAATTATTCTTTTAATGTAAAAAATTAAATAAATACAAATTAACTTGTTTACTTTTCTTTGTATTGCACTAATACGTACGTTATACATCATAAGTAAATACCAATAAGGATGTAAAGTACCTAAGTCTAGAATATGTACTTTATTGGAATAAGTACAAACATAGTACGTACATAGTATGTACATTAAGTACGTAGGTACACAGTACATACAGGCACAGATTACCCAGATGCGAAAGTTGACAAAGAACATCAAAATTAAGAGAGAGATAAATGGCCAGGCCATACCCATTTAAAGATCCCTCATATGCCGCGTTTGAGAATCCACATCAGATGCATTTTTTACATCTCGAGCGTTTTTTTATCCACATCGGACACATCTGTCCCATTACATTTACGTATACTGAATCACG